CATATTTTGAAGCTTTAAAGCCAGAGATTTGGTCACTAGCTAATAGCTAAGGTTAGCATTACAGGTTAGCAGAATTCTTGCTAACTTGTGTTAGCTAACTCGTGCATCCATTTTCTTCTCCTTATCCAATTCAGGGTTATGGAGTATGTTAGCTAACAGAATGATAAAATAGTAGAATTTCACTCACCAAAAACTGGAGTCCATACTTGTTGGAGAGGCTGTTAGTACAATTACCTGCATAGGAAGACATACTGTTTGTGAGGTAATTCTAACAGCACTAAAAAGTTGTGAGGTGCAGTTAAATGACTGTAATAAGTGGAAGTGAGGCCTAGCAGACAATTTTCAGCAACAACTGGAAGTTGTGTAGACCAGTGTTTGTCCTCTGTCTCGAATGCTCCCCTCTGTTTTTTACTGTGTGATTTTTCCTTGTACTGTATGATTGAATTCCAGTTTGGTTAAACTTCAATATTCCACTGGGAATTTTTTCATGAGCCACAATAAAGGCTCACCTTATTCTTGGGTCACTCTGCTACTCTACTATAAATCTTCCTTATGAAACAATCTATATTACATAAATAGTGTTTAAACACATTATTCATTCCTTTGGAGTTACTGAAGATGCTATGTATATGGAATATAAAGAATCTGGTTATTTTCTCCTGGAATTTAAACTCACTTTGTCATTTGCACATAGTTCTTCAGCAAAGCTCCTTAATTCACTTGCTAATTCCTTCACTACAGGAAAAGAGCAATTTCACATATTTTGTATGCATCGCTACAGATAGCATTAGGGATTTGCACTGGATTGGTTTGGTTCTGTCCCAGATGTATATGGCTTCTTTTCTCAGTTCTTTCTCTTCTGTTTATTCTGTCTCCTAGCTTAAATTGGCACACATGTGAGGGTGAGCTCTGGGAAAAGGAATACAGATCTCATACTCATCCACAGTCCTCAAAAATCCTCCTTTTCCTTTAAAAACAAGGCAAGAACTGCACAATCCTCCCCAACTCTTTTTTTTATTTCTCTCATCATGTTCAGGTACAGGAGTGAAAATCACAATTCAAGTGATCAAAAGAATACCTACACATAAGCTGTGACTTTGGGTATCATAGTGCTAGGGTGTGGAATCCAGTTAAAGAGCATCCGAATGACAATGCTTGCTTCAGCTATTTAAATAATCTCATAAAGCTTTAGTAAAACTGTTGAAAAAAAGGATTATCATCAACTAACTCCTGCAGTCTTATGGTGTTTTTGCATAATGATTGATGGCTTGGCATAAAAAAGTGACACTGACAAATTGATGAATGTATGTGGTAAGATAATTTAAATGACTGTTAGAGGTCAGCAACGATGCTTTGGTAACACTGTGGCTTCCTTCCCGGCACGCCTCCTCATGCAGAAACTAATTTGGGACCTTTTCCCATTTACATTCTATGATTCAAATTTTAAAGCAGTGAATTAATGAGTCTTGCCTCTTGATGGGCCGCTGTTGTCTGCATAGCTTAATTAGAATAATCTATCATCATGGGTCAGTACACACCAACCCACACTGCCGAAAAATTTCAGTAGGAAAAAAATGTAATGTAAGGAGCTCCAAAGTAGAGAATGAAGGATACATGTAGACGATTCAAAGAGAACCATCCTTTCTGATAATCTTCTTTATCTGTATGTACTGGATATGAATCACGCATATGAAATTAATCAAAGCCTTTCATTTGTGATTGTGATTGGATTGACTTTTTTGGATTTCCTTCCTTCCAGTGGTAGCAGTGGGTTTGTGATGGTCTGGGGAGGCATATCTTTGGTGAATGACAGTTGATCTGCTTAGTGCTTGGCTGTAAGCACAAGGCCAGGGCCTAAAGGATTGCAGAGCCTCATGCCACCCTCATGGAGTCTCTGACAATTTGATTAGAAGCATGCACATGAGTAGCTCACTAAAGGTTATATCGTAGGACTCGGCAGTGCTTCCACAGTTCCTCCTCGTACAAAGGAGCATAAACTGGTCCTGCTGATTGGATGATGTCCTTGTACAATCCTGTTCAGCTGTACTTGTATATTTGTCCATTTGCTGGTATCTCCTCCACACTCTTGAGACTGTGCTGAGCCATTGATACTTTCATTTGCACCAAAGGTGCATGGCTTCATGATGGTTTAATGCTAACACCCATACTCACACCCATTTGAATGCTACAGTATGCTAGCCACAGTGGTTAAATATTGCCTTAAATTCTTGATAAATTGTCAACAACAGTAATGTCCATTTATTATTTCCGGATCCCAGATCTTCTCTCAGCAGTTGTTTCTTTGCATCATGAAGGAAAATGTTCATCATGGTTTTTTTTGTGTGTTTTATTTTCTTTATTTTCTTCTTTATTTTTGGGTCTTGAGAGAGCTCACTGGTTTTACCCATCATGAGATGTCTCTTGTGTGACACCTTGGTAATATGACATCATTTTTATAGGCCATCAGTTGGGATTGAACCAGCTGATAAACTAAGTGGGAGGATTGCTTTCTAATTACTTATATTAGAAAGCAATCTAATGTTATTAGTAATATTGGTATAATATCTAATTACTTATATATTTCAGATGATGTCATGACTTTCCATGCCTTTTTGCAACCCCCTTTCTTCATGTGTTCAATATTTTTTCACTGTGTTATTTCTCATTATTACACATAACTAAATTTATGGATGTCCATGGTTTGTTTTCTTTGCATGTGTAGATTGGATGGGGTGTTACCAACGTCTGGTGATAATTTTGTGTCAGTGGCACCTTTAGAAATATATTTACTTAGAAAATTGGTAATGTGTTCAGTACTTACTTTACCCACTGTATAATGCATATATTTGCCACTTAAACAATCGTGAGTGGAAATTCCATAACACCACAGATGGCAGTTCTTCTGCCCATCTGCTGTTATAAGGACCAGACAACATTTGCGCATACAGTATGTAGCAAAGATACCATCTGTGAAGGAAAGAAAATCCCTTTAAAACTCAACTTTTTGGCAAACCTAACTAACATTTAGGGAGGTTTCACTCAATATTTTTAGACATAACATTTTAAATTTAAAGTTAGATCTGTTTCTGCATTAATTTAGATAAGTAGTAGTCTTGTTAGCTAGTAATATCTGCCTAGACACCTTATCAAAAAGGCTGCTGTACATACCACCTACTGTAGACAGACACACTATCTCTGCTCCAGCATGTCTTCAGTGTATCATCAGGAAGTTGCTTTAACCTCCTAAGACCCGAACTCTTTCACGCCATGCATTTTCCATTTCTCTTTGATGTTTGTGCATATTGTAAAAACAAAGAATTACCAGATTATTTTTTTACCTTATTTTTTTTAAGAAAAATAAGAGCGACATATGAGGATATTCGTTTAAAATTTTGATAGAACAGTAGCAGTATATTGTCCTCGTAAGTGGATATCAGGCCCATGTAGAGCAAAATTTAATATTTTAGTCTAAATAACCCAAAATGTGATGTCCACATATGTGGACGCCAGGTCCTAGGACGTTAAATTCAGCAGTCATGAGAATGTCTTTATCTTTGTGTACATATTTTTTCAAAAATCATAAAAAAACAGTCTGAATGTTTGCCTATTGATGTAACCATGGATCTATATAGTACAGACTTTTAATGCAGGATCTAATTTAGATTACAATCTAATTACAATCAGGTGCCCTACCAATAGTTGCATTTTTTACTAAAAGTATATCCTATTTAAGTATTTAGTAACATAAAGGGTATTTCTGGTCAACCGAGGTGGGTCTATAGGCATTTTGAATCATAAAGGAAAATTATAATTCTCTTTATTATGACACTCTAGTTCTTTATTGGGATAAAAACATTGTGATTATGATAGCTTGTCAGTCAAAGAGATTATACAGTCATGTGAAAAACAAAGGGTTCTATGCATTTCTGTGAACACCTAAATATACTTTACCATATGTCAAAATTGCGAGGATAAGAAACAACCAGGTCATGTTAATCAAATGCACTTGATTAATTGATGTTTGACGCAACAATACTATTACTACTACTACTACTAATATTTTAATAGTAATAATAATACAATAATTGATAAAAACATACATTTTGTCAGTTTGTTTGTCTGAGGTTCAGGTGTGTGTTAAGGATTAGAAAGCAATCCTGCCAGGAGTGGATATCCTATCAAATTCACCCCAAAGTTAGGTGAAATGCTCAGAGAAACTGCAAAATCATAGAGTAAGTAATTTTATTTAGTATAAAATAAAATATTGTACTCGGAAACATACATTTATTAGTGTGTAATCATGTCTTCTAACGACCTTATGCATTTTTATTGGAATTAATCCACTGAAAAACTCATAAGCGCGAGCACCGTTTGTTAAACCCACCGTGGTCACTCCACCTAATCACATTGTATATATGTGGTTATAGTCTAGTCGTACACATAGTACATCAAAGGCAGAGAAGAAAAGAACTCATAGGCATTCACGTTACATTGAGCTAAATATGTTTTATCATCCAAGAAGCTAAAAAGTGAAAGCAAAAGATGTGACCATCTTTTTATTTGCAAAAAGTAGTAGAAACAAACCAGCTGTTATGGAGAAAAGTCCTACAGTGGCCACCACAGCTAGGATTATGCACTTGAACTAGGAGTAAAAATAACAGAATTCCTTAACACCAATCTGCACTCTACAGAGTGATGTGATTTTACATAGTCTAGTTTTAAGAGAGCTGTGCACAAAAAAATGCCCACAAATATCAATTAAATGAAATGACCAAAATAAAAGTGCGCCATAAGTCCTCCTCAACAATGTGAAAGACTCATAGTCACACAGAATACGATTACTTCAAGTTGTCACTGGTAACTGTGGTTCTACACTACTGACTCACTACCTTAAAAGTTTAATGTGTTCTGATAGGATTTTTTATAATTAGTAAAAATAAGATGAAAAAGCAACACAATAAAATAAACAGAAAACAACTTACAGAAGAAATCATTGCAAGTGTCTTTTATTCGTTTCTCAGACACAATAAAGCACATAACCCAGAGCACAACAGGACTAGGGGGTGTATGAGCAAAGGACATCCTGTGATGAAGGAGAAATGACTGATTCAAAGCAACGCCTGGACAGAGACGTTATTACTCAGGCTGAGCAATGCAATTCATTTTTTTTCCTCGTTGCAATAACAAATCATACGTGCATGTCTTATTTGCAATATTAAAAAACACATTTCTAGAAATTATTCATAATGTCGTTGGCGGTGGCATCTCACACATCAGCTGGCGGCTCTGACATCAGCCAGCGACAATTCTTCCACTTTTCAAATCAAGATGATAATCTTTTTCTTTTCCTCTACAGTACAAATCTCCAGCTCCATATTTAAGTGATTTCAGCTGTCAATAACCTTAGAGGTCTGAGAAATTAAACGCTTTAACGACACAGTCAAAGCTACATGTTAATCAAACACAGGTCTGCAGTTGACACAGCACTGAAAACGATAGTAGATAAAATCACTTGCATTGTAAACAGATAGCAATTACAACTTAATCTGGTCCACAACAGTGATATATTACTCATCTATAGTTTTCCTCATAGTGCTCATTTATACAATACTGGCTTTTAAGTCAACATCTTTAATTTCTTGACATGACATGTAAGAAAGAAGAATGCTACATAAGCTTTGAATAATATATATACTGTCTATATATGTAAAGCTGAATTACCCTTTAAAACACTTCACATCAATATCAAATACTGTGAAACCATTACAGTTATACTTCAGTCCTTTCTACCTCATCTACCAACACATTCTACAAGTCTCTATGGTGGAATGGATTCAGTACATTTGAATGTTCAGCTCTCAACAGCATTGTTAAATTTCACAAAAGCATCCAGTTACACCTCCCTGAGATGAAGACCATACTGAAATGAAAGGAAATATATATTTTTTGAAACACTGACTATATATAATAGACTGTATATGCTGCATTGGACAGCAATTTAAAACAAAACAAAGTCTCTCTTTTCAACGTGCGGTAGAGATCATGTCTGGTGACATCTTTTTATAACCAAGAGAAACCTAGCTGTTCTTTGTAACAGGTGTGATCAACAACTTCCTGGACGAGGCCTAGAAAAATTTAAAACTTTTCCCAATTTAAACCATACCAGAAAAATTCAAGATCAGCTTTTCAGATCAGTCTGTGGAAGTCACATTTTGTCTACCACTACTTGTGCCTCTGTAATTTCCACTGGCTCTCCCAGCGCAGTGTGTTTGTGTGGCCAAACATGACAGATAATTACAGTATGGTGGCACAAGACAGGTAATTTTCTGTCAGTGTTCTCCCTCAGATCCCACAGGAGCATGGTGTTGACAGTCTCACTTTGTCATGGTGCAAAATCCAGTGAATGAGTAACAACAACCATGCTTCTGGTCTCGATCATCACCTACCATTAGGCTTTGAAATTTATGTCACTTTCAAACATAATTTGAAGGTGGTCCATTGTGAAAGTTTGTAAATGTAAATGGTCAGAACAGAACTTCCAGAGAGGGATCTAAAAATAGCTGCGCTGGAAGCTGTCTGAACCTAAAAAGATGATCTTGAACTGATCCAAATTGAAATCAGGTAAGGTTTTAACGCACGCAAACATATGCATGTGTATTATATATATCAGGCCCAATCCCAGAACTTTTTTCACACCTTAAAAACAACTTTAATGTAATTTTTTGTTTGATTTTGACATCGTTTCTGTCAATGATGATAACAGATAACTTTTTATTATTGAAGTCATCTGGGACTGCTTTAAAACAAAGACAAATTTCTACAGGGGCAAGAAACATGAAACCCAGACAACCAGACAGAGTAGCTCAACGTGAAGCCCAGAGTTAGCTGAAGATGTCGGATTACAATGGCACAACCAGTGTGGTAATAATGTCTGGATGGCCTTATACATGGAAAAGATTGAGTGTATGTGTGACTTTCAGTCTTTTGGAATGTTCTAGAAATTCTTTGAGGCAGCCCTTCACTTCCCATGATGCAAAGCTGTAGGACAAGGGTGCTCCAGACATCAAAGAGTTCTTTTAGTTAGACGGTTCCTGTTTCTAAGTCTAGTTCATGCAAATGATTTGGTACCAATGGAATCAACTGGTAATAGCGCTCTTTTCTTTGTATGTCTGCAGAAGAATACTCCCACCTCAAGAGCTTGCAACGCAAATCCTTTCATGCTGAAACGAAGCTAACTGGGTGGAGAACTTGGGGCAGATGAGCTAGGTATCCTGGAGGACCCGAGGAGAAAAATATCTGTGCTGCTTTGCTTGGGATGATGCTGGGGTACATGGATAGAGTTTGGCTAACTTTTTCTGACTTGTCTGATTGTTTGACAGTTTCTTACCCCACTTGATTGCTTTACAGTGATGTTAGTTGTTCCCAGATCACAGCAATTAACATGGTGAAAGCAAAGTTCTTACCATGGTCCCAGTACTGGCAAATTAAAAGTGTTGAAAGCTTCTATTTGAAACTTGTAATCCTGTGTAGATGCAGACAAATCTCACCAGTTCTGGTGGTCTTCTTACAGCACAACCAAAACCCAAGAAAAAAGAGCAATTTAGTCTTCAGTATGGCCAATAGAAGACAATACCAATGCAACTTATTGTTAGACTTCTACTAGTGTCATTATTGCCATTAACCCCTTAAAAGCTACAAGAGGATTTAGGTCCAGAATGTATGCACTAAATTACACTGTTACCTTACATAATTTAGGGCAATGATTTAACAATGTTAGACACTATGCATGTGTTACATTAAAACTGAGCAAACGCAAACAAACCCTTATATTCTTAATTCCACTTACAGTACTTAACATGTGAAAAATAAAGCTAAATTCAGTCCATGCATGTTAGAAAGGCTGCTGCGTATCAGATCCACTTTAATATTCTCAGATGGTCAGTGGACTGAAAAAACAAATAATTAAAAACAAGAAAAAGGAAAAAAGAGCAGAGAATACAGCCGCAGTGTGAAGGTTTATGGTTTGGGAGTGGCTAACAATGTGCAGGAACTGCACTTTATATTGAAAGGTGAGGGAGCTGATGCAGTTCTAGTGTTAGAAAAAAAAAATCCAAAACAGACAGAGTAAAAAGCCAGAGAGATGGAAATGGAGAGATGAGGAGAGAAATTGAAATAGTTTTGAGAGGAGCGAAAAGCATGGCGGAGGCAGAAAAAGCAGGGCAAGCTGAACACAGCTTGTCTGACATCAATCCAGTAGTAGTTTTTGTTTTTTTTTAATCGGCGTCCCACGCTCACTGGACACATATCTGATTCTTCAGACTGTTGGAGAAAAACAGAAAGAGACGGAAAAGATTCATCAGTGATACACTTCAGATATTGTATACACAGTTTATGCAGCATATGGCAAAATAAAGGGAAAGAAACATTTTGGTGCTGGCTGCCGTCGCCATTGATTTACACCAGTTAAGAATCATAAAAATGTCAAGAAACTCATCAGTTTCACAATGGATAAGAAAACGATGTCAAAGCTTACACTCACTGGACACTATTAGGTCCACTTTGCTAGTCCTGGGTCTGACCCTGCTTTGCAGATGTCGCAGAAGAAATTGAGACTCATCAGACGAGCTAATGTTTTTTCCAGTCATTTAATGTCCAACTTTGAGAACTGTGTGTGTTGCTGGACTGAAAAAAATCAACATCTTCCACACTGCAGAGCTTGGAATGACATATACCACCAAGATATGATAAATCGGTAGAAATTGGAGTTATTCAGTCTTCAAGCTCTTCTTCTTTTTCAGAGATGCTCTTCTACATACTTTGGCTCTAATGAGTGATTATCGGAGTTACTGTTGTCGCGTTTGTTTTCTGAGAGAGGATGAACAAACTCAAAGATGAATTTTATTTATAATGAAGTTTATTAAATGGTCGAAGGTTCCAGTTACAGCGCTGCGGACCTCTCTCTGTCCAGCTGTCCTGACAGAGAAAGGGTGCCACTCCTCAGGGAATAAAGTTTTAATAATAGCATAGAAATATCACATGAATATGATTGGTTAAAAATTTGGCGAGAAGCCTCAGACTTGGCTTTCCATAGATAGTGTTTGCTCCAGTTTCTGTCTCCTCCAATCAGGCATCTTTCTCTCCGTAAAAGAAAACTCCTCCCCATTTCCCTGTTGCTATGCAGTTTAGTAGTTTTTCAATTCAAGCTCACCCTGACTGCACGTGTGTGGGTTCCACCCAGCACCTATCTCCACACCATAACATTTTCACTTCAAACCAGTCCAGCCATTCTCCTCTTTTATCAAAAACACATTTTCAACCAGAGAAATGAGCTCACTGGATATTTTCTTTCTTTTTTTTTTTTTTTAATTATTCTCTGTAAAGCCGAAAAGTGGTTGTGTGGGAAGTCTCTGAAATTTAAGACTAGCTTTGTTCCCCATTCTGATGCTCAAATTTCAGCAGGAAGTCTAAATGCATTGGGCTTCTGCCATGTGGTTGGCTACTTAGAAATTTATGTTAATGAGCAGATAAATGGTGTGCCCAGCAAAGTGACCAGTGTATATATATCAAAAGACAAACCAAAAATCTTTCAAAAGTTTTAGGCTTCCTGTTGAATTTTGCAAAAGTATTGAATTGAAAAGAGTAAATAAGAATAATTGGTTTATGGAAACCATGCAGGGTTTGGTTTGTTATATATTCTGAGAGGGCAAAAAAAAAAGATTTTGTTTGTGTTTTCTCCTCTTCAGCTGAAATTTTAAAATAAATAGAACAGAATAAATAGAAAAAAGAATAAAGGAAAAGAATAAAGGTGTTATTTGGATGTAGATTATTGGATGTAGATGTAGATTATCATTTAAATTGATATGAAGAGCCTTTTCCTGTTTGTTTTCTTCCTATTTTTTAAACTAATACTGCTGAAAAAAACACCAACTTGTTCTTATCCAGTTAATAAGTTTTTAGATCTTTTAATGCTCCAAACAGATGAGAGAATCTGGCTGCTTGTGTTTCTTGTCATGTTCTGTCGCCTTCAGCCTCAGTTTTCCTTTATATATTGTGTTGAATCTCCATCAATCCTGCACATGCTGTACAAAAACAATATGAGTGTGTAGTTCCACACACATATTTAAATTTAAACTGCTGTGCAAAACATACAACCATACCTCAGCTGCCATCCTCAGAGCATCCCAGGATGTATAGTAGTTTCTGTTTTACTATTTTATTACAAATACAAAACTTCATTCATGTTTTTGTGGCGTGGCCCTCCAGTGTTCTAAGTAAACATTAATTCGGTCTGTTCAAAATGAAATAGAGAGACACCAGTGCCAGAGTGGCCATCGGGGGCAACGGGAGAATTAAACACATAAATTAATCCGTTCACACATTGTAAAGTTGAACCTGCACACACAGCTCTTTTTCTCTTGGGTTTTTTTTTTGTTTTGATATTGTGAAGTTTTAAAATGCCAGAGATGACTGCACAAATGCTGAGACATAATGGTAGTTATTGTTCAAAATAATGTTGCTGGTTTTGTATTATGAAAAATATGACAGCTCAGTATGCAGCAAAGATTTGAAGAAAAAAATATTCTAAAAAGGTTTTGGTAATCAACTTGTATTTGCAGTCAATCATGTCTCTCATTAAATAGTAAAGAAAAGAAAACAGATGTGAATCAAATTAAGGTTAATGAATCTCTTGTCACATTGCAGTTTTGTATAGTACGTTCTACATGCAGAAACTTGGTGTGCTGAAATGACAGAAGAATAACCAAGGTGTCTGTAGCCTTCTGATTTTTATGCCAGTTAATAATCACTTCATTCATCCATCTTTCTGCCCCTTGTCCTGTCACAGTTCCTACCAGTAGGACATATCCACAAGACTTAATCTAGGAGGTGTGCATGAGGCATCCAAATCACAACCACTTCAACTTGCTACTTGTTATGTGGAAGAGGACTATAACCTGTCCTAAACTACGGAGCTTTTCCAAGACAAGCTCCCACAGAGGAAGAGGAACATCCACTACATGCAGGTATGGCCATAGGTGAGGGTGGGATCATAGATCAACCAGTAAAAAAATACAGCCATACAGCTGTTTACTCAATGCATTTGAAGCACTTTATCTACAACCATGGTCAAGTTTGAATCAGGAATGAACCCACAGGCTATTCTCCACATAGATGACCTCCTCTGAGCAAGCACTTACTGAAAGTGGGAAGGAAAAAAATCCTTTTAAAAAAGTTCCGCAGAACCAGGCTCAGGGAGGGGCTGCTATCTCCCGTGACCGATTAGGGGTGAGAGGAGGAAGAAAGGACAAAACAGACGCTGATGTTCTTTGTGGAGAAAGGCCATAGTTGGGTTTGAATCAAGACGCCTGCACTACCAAGACTGCAACCTTATTCTTTCAGTCACTATCCAGAGCTTGTCACCATAGTTGAGGGAGGTAATGTAAAAACAAATGAATGGCTTTGGTTTCAAGCTCAGCTGTCTCTTCACCACAAGAGACTGGGGTACACTCATCCACTTTAATTTAGCCAATGCACCTGCCAGTCTTCCACTCCACAAAGTCCTCTAGGAGTTTTCAGTGGGTTGGGTGGAGTGAACTCACCTAATCCTCAATAAGACTGGAGGTTTTTTGTAGACCCTGATTCAATGAATTGAATGCAGTTCAAAACATGACAGCATGGCCTAAAATGTATGTCCAGCTTCCTGAGGGCCTGCATGTGTCAAGGCCTAGGGCCAAAGGCAGTCAAGGGGATCCAACACCTCTGCATGAATGAGTTATTGTTTGCATGCCAAAGATTTAATTGACAGAGACAGACCGAGACATTTTAGCTGATAGAAAGCTCAGTGATACATAATGAAAAACAAACCTAAGACCAGGCAGCAGGAACACCTGACTTTATACTTTGAACTGAAATTATGTTTCAATGGAAATGTAATTTCCTTGTAAACGTAAACATATAACATGAAACATGATTTAAAATAGATCCTCATAAGGATTAGGCCAGGCGGTTTGTTTTTAAAGAATAAATTATTTAGCATTATTTCTTTTAAAGATATTTGCCTTTGAAAAATCTGGAATGGAGATACAATAACTGTATAGAAATGTAGGTTTTCTGAAAGAAAGCTGACCTTGATTTACAATATTCTTAACTTTCTAGTTCAGTGTGTCAGGTCAGAAAATATTCTTATTTTTTCTGTGGCTCAGTCCCTGAAATTTGCACAAATCTGCATGTCTTTCAAACTACCGTCAATGACTGATGCACACTTGGCCTGCAATTCATTTCAACAGCCATGTTTCTGTACTTGTGCAATGTGAGACATCTGGAGAACATTCCTTTTGAACTTTTGAAAGTATAATCTGCTGCAGATAAGTTTCAGGACTCAGTTTATACAAGTGGTTAGTTTAAGCACCGTTTTAGAGACTAATGATGCATGGTTCCCTGGAGGAAATTCTTAAAGCTATTGCAGTTGATTGAAAAATCAGATAAGTATATATCAGCAATAAGTTGATTTGCAGAATCGAAAAGGTAGAGATCTGGTCCTGTCTACCATTCTGCTCCTTTTTGTTCCATGCACTCAATGAAATCGTTTTTCTTTCTCTTGACATCCAGTGTCAAAAAGTTGCCAAGTAATCACAATCGTTGTGTGATTGAATAGGTGACTTCAAGCTTTTTCTGCATTGGTCCAGCAACCCAGACCAACAGATGGCCTCATCTTATCGCTTTATCATTACAGAGTTGCTGTCCTGACGTCTCCTCGATTAGCAGGACTGATGTACTCCCAGGTTCAATCGGTCAACACAATAAAGACTCAGTCACGACACACCAAAGGCTGCCTGTCCCTCAGACAGCACAAACAAGTGTGCCCATGGTTTGATAGAGCAGATGGGGGAAAAAATTCAGAGGCATCGTGCAATTTGCCCCAGTGGGGACACACAATAACTGCACAATTGTGAGCAGGAACATGACAGACTGGCAGTTAGCATCGCTTCTGTTGTTTGTTGCACGTAATCAAATGGCTTTTTCTCTGTCAGTGCAATGGGAATTGCATGTTGTCCTTAGTCGAACTAAGTAGAGTAATCACAGTCTGCTCTGCGAAAAGAGCATCCTGCTGTGTTTGTCTTGCAAAGACAAAAACAACTACACAAAACAAACTGTTGTGCTTATTTCACTGGAAAGCTCAACGTGGCAGAATGCACCAATGCTTCAGACTTACACCTCGACACAGAAAGTGTTTTGACTTACTACCCTGAACCTTTCTTAACAAACAGATCTTGTAACCCTCTTCCTCGTACACCAAGTATTTGGGTAGAAAAAGAAGGACA